GTTTCTTCTCTCGTCTTTCTTTCTTTTTTTTTTTTTTTTGTTTAATTATCATTATCCCTACGTATAAATATATGTACCTTTTGTTCGTAGAAGATCGGGTCACGGAGAATCTTTAATTTCTATCGAACGACTAAATACTTCGAATCAAGAGGAAACTTATCATTTTTTTTTTTTTTCATATTCTTCTTCATCTACCTTTTCTTCGCAATTTTTTTCAACGTTTTTTTCAGTCAAGTGCAAAAATAGATACTTTATCGCCTCACCAATATATTTTTTTTTTTCTTCTGCGTCTCTTCTTTTTTTTTTTTTTTCTCGGCTCTTCGTCTAAAACTGAATACAGTGTAGAATAGATAATGTTCAGGAAATGTTCTAAGAACACCTATAGATCTCTTTCGATAAATACGAAACGACGACAGTGGAGAAATTGATACTTTTTTTTCTTTCTTTTTTGACATTTTAACAGAGAGCTGATCGTGACTTATCGCTGGAATGAAAATATCGTGAACGCCTGAATTTTGATATTAACACGCTCGACTGCAACAGTTCGGTGAACCCAAGAACATCTGCTGAACACGGGACGCCAAAATGAGCTAACTCCCAACTTTCTCGCAAATGTTTTTTTTTTTTCCTATTCTGAAGCACAAAGTAACGAGATGAAAAGATTCGAACGAATGAATCGGTATAATGGGAAAAAGAAAGTATCGACGTGTACTTACAATAATGGATCAAATGGAACCTACTCGTTATATCAACTCGAAGGTATTCGAGTTCAGCGATTAAAATCGGCCTGTGATCGTCGAATGTATAGCAATATTCGAAATATTTTCACGAACCGTTCTCATAGTTTCTCGATCTTTTTGGCTTACTCTAGTCTAATTGTAAGTTTCGCTCGAAAAAACGTCGCACTCCAGGGAGGGGAGCAAAGGGAATCTAGCGGTTCTACGTTCAAGTTTGGAATCTCCTTCACCGTTTTCTCTCACGATCGAACACCGTGGAAGGGCTGGTCAACGTCTCGCGTTCCGTCTGCGTGAAAAAATGGGATTGTTAATCGCTAAAATCGTTTCTCTAAACGCTAAGTAGGCTAGTAAAGTTTCTAACGCCTATTGGATAAGTTTCACGCTATATTGGATCGATAATCGTAATACGCACACACGCAGAAGTGAGCCTAGAGCAAACGCTACTTCGCTTCATGGATCCATTTTTTTACCATGTTGTTGTAGATCACCGTGCAGTCATGTATTCGTATTATGTACATACAGGGCGGTAGAATATGAAATATACACGCGCGTCTCGTCACCCAGCCACCATCACTTCACTGATCATTTCGTTTGAAACCTGATTCGAGGGATCGTTCGATCGTTCGGTAGAGAACGAAGAGCGGGAAACTCGAAGCATAGAAAATAACGCGTTCTGTACAATTTCTCCTTTGCCTTCGAAACTACTCGATGATAGGCGAATGAAACGTAATCGAACCATCCCTTCGAAATCGCGAATCCACGATCGAATGGAATGCTATCCCGAGCAACGCTATATGCGATGAAATATTATTTTGAACGGTGTTTGCACGCCTTCATATATCGCGTGAATCAAAATAATATTTGATCTCAGAAAATTGAGCGAAGTAACGTTCCATTGAATACATAGTTTGATGGATTTTGACAGAAATTCATTCCACTTCGAAGATTCGATATATATATATATATATATATATATATATATATATATATATATAT